CGGGGCTTTCTCGCCCCGGAGCTCGCAGGCAGCAATCCGCCACCTCGACCTCCGGGGCGAGAAAGCCCCGTTCGTAAGTGCGGATCCGACATAAGTCAGATCCGCGTAAGTCGGGGACTGCCTGTATACAAAGGCAAACTTAATATTCTGTTGTTTCAGAGCCAACTTCCCTCAGGCTGACACTGGCTTCTGGGTACAGACGGGGCTTTCTCGCCCCGGAGCTCGCAGGCAGCAATCCGCCACCTCGACCTCCGGGGCGAGAAAGCCCCGTTCGTAAGTGCGGATCCGACATAAGTCAGATCCGCGTAAGTCGGGGACTGCCTGTATACAAAGGCAAACTTAATATTCTGTTGTTTCAGAGCCAACTTCCCTCAGGCTGACACTGGCTTCTGGGTACAGATCTTCCTGAGCCCTTTTTCTCCTTAGCAACAGAAAATTCACAGGCACAATCTCCCCTTTGTAAGGAGCCTGCCTGCAGCATGCCCCCCCAAAAGGGTGATGCTAGTTGGAGAAAGGTGCCTATCAAGGATTGAGCATAACCTCACTGCAGTCTGGTGATAAGACTTTTATGAGGACCTCAGTGAAATCTGCACACACCAACACAGGTATATATTCTAGAGGGGACAAATCTGACCCCCGCAAATCTTAATATTGCCCTCAGCTTGGATTTTCCTCTCTTTTTAACCTCCTTTCAGAAACAATCCTCACTCCACTGTAGTGTGTGTAGCTTTCATCTGTTATGATGAGAGCTGGTTGAATTTTTTTTATAAAACAATTATTTTCATTAACAAAGGGATTTTAATGACAGTTTCTCCCAGAAAAAAAATGTTATTGAAAATTTTCACTCAATTATATTTAAATTTTTCCATTCAAAATGCCCAGGAAGAATCCCATTTTCTTTTAAGATTTTTATTTGTTTTTTTTTTTATTCCATTTAGGAAAAAGAGAGAGGGAAGTAAAAAAAGTGAGAAGAAAATGTGTCTATTAAGGTAGGAGGGAGCACTTTTACAGTTTTTAACTTTTCCCACTATTTTCCAGTCGCAAATACTAAAGTAATGCGAGAGAGTGGAAATAACTCTGATAAACATGACGAAAATTTTCAAGAACGTGTATAAACCCTCCAAAAAAATAAGAAAACAAAAATTCTGACAAGTTTATATTTTCCACTTTCATGAACATTAAAAGGGGAGAGTTTCAAAAGCGCCAAAGAGACTTGATCTCCTAAATTCCTTAGGCAACTTTTGAAAATCTTCCATTTCATGCACAATTTTTTGAAAGGCCTTTAAAAAAACAAAATATATAAGTGGAAGCTAAAACAAAAGCTCTCTTAGGTTTTTATCTATTGTACCACTGGTACAACATGGTATCTAATATAGTATAACGTGGTATCTAAGCACAAAACAAAATTCTTGGAAACGCAAAAGAAAGAAGTGTTTTTGTTTGCTCTTCCAGAACAAAGGTGCTTGACTATGTGAGCATGTGTGATGTATTTTTTAAAATGTATTTGTTTGTTCATTAGCAGGAAGCATTTTAGAGAAGGCTTTGCACAAAAGTGTTCTTTATACCTTGAAGGGAACATGGTCAGGCTTGGGCTCAGGCTACGTCTAGACTGCGGGTTTTTTTTTTTTTTTTGAAAAAGGTATGCAAATCACGCTCCTCGATTTGCATAACTTTTCCAATTGTTTTTTTGGAAGAGGCTTTTCCAAAATTTGGCCCATCTACACTGGGCCAAATTTCAGAAAGGCCTCCTCTTTCGGAAGATCCCTTCTTCCTCGTGAAATGAGGAAGACAGGGCTTCCAAAAGAGCACATCTACTCTTCCGCAATAAATGTCGTAAGAGCAGACGCATTCCCTGGACGCGGCAGAGTTTTTCCGGGATACCTCCAGTATCCCGGAAAAACTCTGTAGTCTAGACATAGCCTCAGTCTGACCTTTTGTGACAAGGAGTTCCACAGCCTGGTTCTTCCATTCTGTTTCTAGTGCCTCATAATGAGTAGCGGGGCTAATCCTCTGCCTCCTCCCAATAGAGCTTGTTTGTCTTGGAGGACTATGGAAGGTAAAGTACTGTCTGAAGTCTCTAGCTCCAAGTATATGAAGACCTTTACAAATCAGGTCCCAACAGGATTTTGAACTCTATATTGAAGTGAATAAGGAGCTTAGTGGAGTTCGCAAAGCATCAATGAGTTGGTACGTTCATGTTGGCTTTTGTAATGAGGCATGTAGAGTCACACTACACAAACATTAGGCATTTTGCATTAGTTGGATCCATCATAGAGCATGAGATGATATAATTCTCTCTTGAGAAGAGGAAAGTATTGCACACTTTAGATAAGTCCTCATCAAGAAGAATGAGCAAGGCCTTTCAATTAGGCGAAAGAGAGAGAAGTCTTTTCTCTCCATTGTGACAATGCATGTGTCCAGGAGCAACAAGGAATCTATGAGGACCCAGGATTCACAGTATCATAAACATTTGCAATCTAATGCACTTGATCATTAACAAATTCCTCGGAGTTTCCCACTTTGTACAAGCATCATTTCTGTCTTTCCTGAGTTGGCCTAGAGCCAATCACTGTTCTCCCAGGTGAATTAAAATACATTCATGCATGTAAAAAGTAAAGTTAGGTTCCCAGTGGCACCTGAGGCATCTGAAAATTGTATGCAACTGCTAATTACTCACGTGATTTAAAAAGTATTCTTTACTGAGATAAAAATAAAATAACCATGTTTGGGCAGGTTTCCTTCCTTTGCAAATGAGCCTGTTTTTAAATAGTGAGACAACCTCATTTTTTCCTTTTAGACTACTTTTCCCATGGACTAAAGAGCCCTTGTAGTCCAGTAGAGAAAGGAGTTGGGATACCTGTGCTATATTCTACTCGGTCACAGACTGCCACCTTGGAAAAGTTACATTGTCTCTCTGAGATGGTTTCCCTTTCTGTAAATACTGAGTAATTGTACTTGGGAAGAAAGTACTTGGTGATCTCTGGTTGAAAGAGATTAACATAAAGGTAAGTTGACAAAGGTTATCAACATAAAGTTACATCTGTGGACATTCAGTTTATTTGGAAACTTGGTTTTTATTTGGTTTAGCACATCCAAATTCTTTCTACAGACTCATCTGGGCTACGTGCAACAGGAAACCAATTATCATTATGATTTCCAAGGGCAGAATCCAACTGTGTTGACATCTTTGTCCTAGGGTGCATTAGATCTGAAAAAAACAGTGCTTCAAGCAAAATCATTTTTAATCTCTTAAAAATATAATTTGTCATTTAGTTATTTGAACAAGGGGGATAGGAAGGTGGTTGGAGGTTAGGTTAAGAGGAATAAACTAATAGTGTAATAAACTCTTGATGAAAAAGAGACAGAGACTTGTT